GTCCTGTGACCAAAATTTGGGCACTTGGCAGCCCAGCTGCATTTATGACTGCAGCAGGCGCTTCAACTCCCCCATCCGCCTATCTCCCCCCATCTCTGCCCTTTTGGCCACCTTGCATTCCGCTCCCGCCACTAGCTGACCTCTGCCATCTTCTTCCTCCCATTGCTGGCCTGGGATCCAGATGCTGAGCAAGGGCATGTCCCCGGGACACATGCAGTGAGTGTGGCAGGGTGGCAGAGCCTTGTCTGCTGAAGGGAGCTTGCTGGGCCCGGCTGGGGAGGAGGCAGGGTGGCAGCACAGGCAGTGGCTCCCCAGATGAAGGTGGTGGCTGTTGGCACTGTGGAAGGCTGCAACCAGAACTACCAGAACTGCTGTCGCTAAGCGGTGCGGTCACGTGATGTTTCACCTAACGACCACTTCACTTAGTGACAGAAATTCTGTTCCCAGTTAGGGTTGTTAAACGAGGACTACCTGTTACAAAATGGTCCACGTCTTACAACTTCTGCAAGGGGTATGTAAACTTATGAGCACAACTGTAATTCCCAAAGGATTAACAGATGTCCCTGGAGGTTGCTGGAAGGGGTGGGGCTGAATTATTTTTGCCTTTGGGGGAATAGGAATAGGAAAAAGACCTCCCCACTTCATGGAAAAAATAGCCAGAAACCTGTTTTGCAGGCTGTTATTCCTTTGGGAATTGATGAGTGGGAATGAGAGCAGTTTGTCTCCCACTCCCATTCTCCACCCTTAATTCTGTAAAAACAGTAACAAAATCACACCAGTCAAATTTCTGCAGCATGATTTGGGGTGAGAGATCCATGTGGCTGAGTGATTCTTCCCAACACTCTGCCATCTGGAACACAGCAGAAGGGGGAGGACAAAATAGCTCCCAGAGTTCCCCCATGGCGTGGAGTAAGACTGGGGCAATGCCTGGCCTGAAGCCACCCACGGCAATCGGGAGAGAGCCTTCCTGAGATGTGGACGGATGATAACTTAGAAAGGAAGTCTGCTTCATGTCATACAAAGAGGGAGGAATAAAAAATGTTACCGTAATTGTTTGCTTCACTCGTGTTCTCAATTTCCAGTACCCACTCGCCAGCTGGGTCTTCATCCCATGAATGAGTAGTCATGAAGGCCCAGTCATTGAAGCCATCAGCAGAGTAATCCCGGGGCCTGGCCAGAGCAGAAAGAGGTGATGGAGAGGACCAGACAGAGGCTATGTGGCCTCCTGGACCAGAGTGCAGGGATAAGCTTACCTGGCAGCCAGCAGAGTGGAGCGGGTACCCATTGGGCTGACCAGGTGAATGGCCAGGGCCCCACGGCGGTTGTAGGAGAGGGTGAGCCTGGCTTGGACGTGTTCGAGTTGGGCCACGTAGCTGGCCTTTCCCCAACAGGCATCCACCTTCTGGCGCACCTCCAGGCGCTTGCCAATATCCCTGCAGAACACAACGGGCACTTGCTGCAAGAGGCCGATTGAGCAAGCAAGCCCAGCGGCCATGGGACCTGCTTCGGAAAGCACACCTTGACCCAAGGAGGGAGTTCCTGCCTCTTCAAGAAGCAAGCAGCCGCTCTCCTGAATGTCCAGATTTGCTTAACTGGGAGTGGGACTCCTGGGCTCAACCAGAGTTCAGTTAGTTCAACTGACTGTTTGTTGGACCCAGCCCCCTCTTGCATCATTAAGGCAGCCAGGGGGGTGACCTGTAGTTGGATCCATGTAATGGTCAGCCTCCTTGAGAGAGGGGTGGTACCTTCTACCTTGAAGGAGGGAGTGGTGTGCCCCCTCCTCAAGAGACTGTCCTTGGACCCAACTGTTTTAGACAACTATCGTCCTGTCTCCAACCTTCCCTTTTTAGAGAAGCTTCTTGAGAAGGTGGTCAGGCTGCAACTGCAAAAGACCCTGGAAGTAGATTATCTAGACCCATTTCAGTCGGGGTTCAGGCTGGGATTCAGTATGGAGACAGCTGTGGCTGTGCTTGTTGATGACTTGTGGTGGATCCAGGATGCCAGGGGTGCGTCCATCCTTGTGCTCCTTGGCCTCTCAGTGGCTTTCAGTACCATTGACTACGATATCCTTCTGAGCTGGCTCCATGGTTCGGGGATTGGGGGCACCATATTGTGGTGATTCTCTTTCCAACTCCATCCTACCAAGGACCAGTGGCTACAGTTGTTGGTACAGCTTAGATCTGGGGATTTTCCATCTTGTGCATGGGGTTGCACTTCCCCATTCAGGAGTGATGTGCAATCTGAAAGTCCTCCTGGACTAACAGCTCCTGCTTGAGCAGCAGATGGCAGCTGTGGCAAAGAGGGCCTGTTGAGCCCATTCCTAGATCAGGAGACCCTCCAGTCACTCATGCCCTAGTCATCTCACAGTTGGACCACCTGTGGCTGCCTTTGAAGATCACTCAGAAGCTACAGGCCACATGACATCTCTGCTGCACAAGCTGCACTGGTTGCCATGGGCTTCCAGGTGAAATTCAAGGTGCTGGCTACCACCTATAAAGCTCTTCATGACATAAGGCTAGGTTATTTGAGGGACTGCCTATCTCCCATGACTTCTGGCGAGGCTGGGAAGAGTGGGTACACTTTGGATCCCTTCAGTCAAACAATGCCATCTATCAGAATGCCAGAGGCATACTTTCTCTGTTGCAGTGCCTACCCTCTGGAATGAGATCCCCCAGAGATCCATGTTGCTCCTACCCTGATGATGTTCTGGAAGGCTTTAAAGACTTGGCTGTTCTCCCAAGTCTTGGGACAGAGTGGATGGAGTGCTCCTTTCTAGAGGTGTTTGATATATGTGTTGATGTCAGCTGTCTGGACTGCCTTTTTGTTATTTCTCTTATTGTATTTTTTATTTTTTTTATTGTACTGGTATTCTGTTTTTATATTGTGAGCCTGGAGTTGGGCAGCACCATAAATAAATAAATCCTGCCAGGACAGCAAGGTGCTCTTTGGAAGTGAACACATGTAGACAGGCTCATCTCTAATGTGCTCCTGGCTCCCATCCTTCTGCCTGCCCCAAAGGTGGCTTTGGTCAGGCCACTGTGAGGAAGAAGAAAGGGTGGGGACTTCCCTTGATTCTCGGGGTCCCTGAAGTGTCCTTGCATCTTCCATGTGCCTCCTGACGATACTATGGACACAGGTGGCACAGGGCCAGCGCTGAGAGAGAACACACGCTGCTCATCCTCACAAGCAAGTTCCTGTATCCCCAGGAGGGAGAGGGGCAAGCCTAGGGGAAGAGGACAGACATTTCCAACCCCTCCACCCTTGACACAAACTTTGGCTGTGTGAGGATGTCGACGATGCACTTCCGCTGAGGCCCCACTGAGGTCCAGTTTTTGGCAAGAGCCACCATGGCACCTGCATCCAGGAGTCCGTAGCCGTAGGAATGACTGACTGCAAAAAGATGGACAACATGTCAGGGCTGCAGTATGTCTTTTAAGCATCTCTTCTGGGCGGGGGGGACTTGCCATGACCTGGTTGCACTTCATCGCCATGTTTACCTTTGCGTCCCACCCCATTGGTGGCCCAGTCATTGGTGTTGAGGTGGGCAGGTTTGGACGTCCGCACGACAAGATGCTGCATGTCACGCCAGGTCAGGTTCTTGCTGCAGAGAAGAAGCAGGTGAGTTGGCAACAACAGCACCATCCATACCAGGCTTGCACGGGTACAGGAACTTCTCCCTCCCCCCTTACTTGGCTTCCAGAGCAAGGGCAATGATCCCAGCGGCCAGAGGCGCAGAAGCAGAAGTGCCGGTGTGCGACTCTGTGCACTTCTGCCACAGGTCAGTTGTCACCTGGAGGATGGAGAAAGGACGGCGAGAGCAGAGTCAGGGCCTATGTCTGGTGTGCTGCCTCACCCGCCAGCTGAACATTTCCCTCGGCAAATTGGCTGGTTCCTAGCACCTCCATTTCTTCTGGGAAGGGGCCCCGTCCAGCGGCCATGGGGACTGAGGGAGATGCCGGCTGTCTTCTTGCAGAGCTGGTGCTCCCCAGCCGCCTGGCTCCTCTTCCAAGTTGGCCTCCCAGAAGAAACACTTCCAAAATTATGCACTAAACCTCCCCTTGGTTGGATCCCCAACAGGAAAAAATGTGCCCTCAAGCTCAGTTACTTTGTCCTCTCTTTCAAGCAGAGAGGAAACCTCCTCCTAAAATCCAGAAATTATTTGTCTAGCCACAAGCCCTTGCTCACAGAGGAAGGACACTTAACCCCTCCAAACTTTGGCCCAAGATGCTTTTGATATCAACCTGAAGGATAACCAGGTCTTTTATTTTAATTACTTCCAATGCCATCTGACCCACCAGGGAATGCAGTTGGCTCCCATCTTCCACTACCCTCTGCCACGGATGCCTGCAGGTAACAAGAAGCACCTTCTCGCTAAGAACCAGAGCGACTGCCCTCTGCCCTCCATGACATGCAAGGAGCAGACTCAGAGCTCCAGGCCATCGCTGCTGCTTTCACAGCTTTTCCCCCTTCTAGCATTTCTCTTTCTCCTGTTCCTCCCTCCCAACCCTACAGCTATCCAGGCCTCCAAGGAACAAGGGGCTTACAGTCTCCCTGCCTTCCTTCCCCCCACTATCCCTCTGCATCCCTCTTCCCACTCCAGACAAATTACTAATCCTGTAAGCTGGTTCATGTAATTATTCTATTTTTGCAATAAGCTACAGAATCGAATCATTCCAACTCTGATTTGCGATCTCTTGTCCCAACCACGCTGCCCAGTCCCAGCAGTGGGATTTGATTCAGAGCTGTCTGGGTGTCACTGAACACGTTCCTGTCCTTAGGCTTGGGGGACTGTGCCCCTGGGCACAGATGGGACTCACAATCTGTTTCTCGTTCTGGCTGCCGCTGCTGTAGGTGGTGGCCAGGGTGGAGGAACAGGCCTCACTGTACCAGGGCACGTTGCCGTACTGCGTGGTGCTGCTGATGGAGAGTGTGTAGATGCTGTTGGTGTAGCCATCACAGTTGCAACTGTCGTGTTCACGGCCACCATTCCCCGAGGCCCAGACGAAGATGGAGCCAAGCCCGTGGCGGCCCTGAGAGAAGGGTTGGGTGAAGCAAGTGGAGGGGGCCTTGGGGTCTGCCCCAACTGGCCCTGAGCTGCCCGCCCAGCTCACCCCCTCACCTGGCTCACGCCCCGGTGAAAGGCCTCTTCGGCAAGGTGGGCAGGGCCATCCACCGTCTTGCCATCGTCTTCTGGGCCCCAGCTGGCACTGTAGATGTGAATGTGGTCGGGGTTAAGGCCCAAGGAGCGGGCTTCCACAGCATCCGTCACTTCCCCATCTAGCATACGGACGCCTAGGGTAAAGACGGTCACTGGTTTTGGATGCCTCCGGCCAACTGACCCCAGAAGTTGGCTGGCGCCCTCCCAGCCCAACAGCCCTCAGAGCCACTGGGGCGCTCCTCCAGCAGGCTCCTCACCTCCAATCTTGGCATTGTAGGCTACACCCACACCACAGATACCATTGTTGGCCACAGCGGCCACTTCACCCGCACACCGAGTGCCGTGCCTGCAATGGGACAGAAAATGCTGAGACCGCGCCTGCAGATCTTCTTCTTTGCAGCCTGTACTAGCAAGTGTGCAGTTGTGGGGATAAAGTCCCAAAATGCGGCACTAGCAAGGGGCAGAACTCCACAAAGGTGTCTCTCACCAGAAGCCAAATCCCAACGCCCCATCCCAGGCCGTGTCCCCAGCAACCCCCACAAGCCTGCCACACCTCCCTCCCACCTGTTGTCGTTCATTTGCGTGTAGCGAGGCTGAGGATCCGGATCCTGGTCATTCACATCAAAGCTGGCAGCGGGGTCCTGGGGAAAGAGAGAAGCCTCTGGGGCACTAGCTCACTGCCCCTTCACCTGCACGGAAGAAGCTGCCTCTCCCCCATAAGGGGCCAGAGAGATGAGGACACCGGCCACCTTGGAGACCAGCCTGCTGGCCAGTGGGGAAGACCTGTGCCCTGATGGGCCTGTGCTAGGCTCAGCAAGACACGTGGGCCCTCCCGCAAGGGGCAGCTGTGCTGGGGCCCCAGGAAGGCCTCTGTCCTCCCCTCCCGGGAGAGAGCACTCCAGATCCGAGGGGCAAGCTGGAGAGGCCCTGGGCCCATCCTTCACTTACATAATTGGCTTCCAGATCAGGGTGGTTCTTCTCAATGCCATCATCCAAGATTGAGACAACGACCCCTCGGCCAGTGTAGCCCTGCTGCCAGGCCTCCCGCACATTCAGGTCTCCCTGGTGGCTGTTGGACTGCAAGAAAGGGGAGCAGCAAACCACTCACCCCAGGAACCAGCCCATCTCCCCCTTCCTGAAGAGGAATGCTTCCAGCCAATAATCCTCAAACCGTGCAGAGGGGAAATCCCCCAATGCTCCCCCTAGGGCTCAACCTCTCTGGCCCCTTCCCCCTTTTCGAGCATCACACATTCATCCAGATAGGAACGCCCTTCTGGCCCTCTTGGGCTCTCTGCCCCCCACCCTGGTCAGCTTCAGCGTTCTCTGTGCCACATTCCTGCAGTGGCAAGTCCTACCGCTGCCCCCCTGCTGCCCTCGCAAAGGCTGGCCATCCGCGGCCTTTGATCTTTGGGGAGAGAAGAGAAGAGAACAAGGCGAAGCCCTCTTTGGGATACAGCGATCAGGGAATATTGCAGTCTCCATCTCTCCTGCTGAAGTGATTAAATGCTGTCCCTCTGCACGTGGCCAGGTCAGAATGGACAGGGCATTCTGCCCTTGCGCTGCAGTTTCAGAGAGGGCCTCTTGTTCAGGCAACTCTGGTCATGCCAAGGAAGCATCTTCACTTACCAGGTACCACTGCTGTGGGAACTTTGGATCCGTTGGCTCTAGGAAGACATCTCGCTTGGTCCGGCGCTTGGCAACTTGCTGTTCCAGCCAGAGCACCTGGGGAAAGATGTTCATGTGCATCCTGCCAGCCTCCCACAGATGCCAGGTGCAACAAGGCCAAGAAATATAGCTGGGCAAATATTTAAGTCAAAAAGTGCAGGCCACTTTGGAGAGCAATCTTGCACCTACTCCTACAAGGACCACACACACCCAGTCCCACAGAGTTGTCCAAACTGCAGGGCCCCTCTCTGGCCATGCCCCAGAGGCCCTTTTCTAACAAAGGAAACTCTCTTTACAGCTACACAGATCCAGTGGAGGCACTCCCACGTGTTTGCTGCATGCGCCATGCCTTCGCATAGTGGTGCAATTCTGGCCAAAAGAGATTAAAGGTTTTCAGTTGATGGGATTCCCTTTTCTCAGTCTGTCTTCCAAGACAACCTTCCTGAGCCTCTGATCAGCCCTAAAGTCCCCCACTGCCCTGCCCCACTCAGCACACAGGCCTTGGGGGGCCAGCAAGACACCCTTCTAATAACCAAGCGAAGGGGCTTTGCCTCGGCCTTCCCCTCAAACCTCTGTCCCCCAGGCAAAGGAAGCCCAGCTTGGGCAGCAGCAGACCAGCCTTGCCAACAGGCCTGGGCAGATTCAGGTTCCGAACTGCCTCATCTCTCTCAGCTTAACTTATCACTGAGTTGATCCACCTGGAAGAGAGGCCAGAGCTACACACCTTGCTTTGAGCTCCTTGGCGTAAATGAACAAATTAAGCATCTCCAGCTCCTGCCAGGCCTTAGGGTCTCCTTCTCCCCGAAGACCGTCAGCCCAAACCCTTGGCAGATCAAGAACCAGGAGAGCAGTCGCTCCGCTCCCTTCTGGGCAATGCAAGAAAAAGCGACAGGTGGCTTGCGGGAGCCCAGAAGGAGACCCTGGAGCCTGACAAGGCAAGATTCGCACATGCAGCACTCCAGGCCAACTCCCTCGTTCTGTGGCCGACACTGTAGGGCCAGCTTTCATACTTGCAGGGAACTCACCTGCGGCTCTCTGGACAAGGAGCTGTGCCAGGAACGGTGTGGTGAGAGGGACCGCTTTGCCACAGCCCGGTGGTAGAAGTGGTAATAGTCCCCGACAATCTAAGGCAAGTGAGAAGAGAGGGAGACAAGCAAGCCAGGTTAATTCTAGACCTGGCTCCATAGGCGTGGGCCAATGCCCACAGCAGGGGTGGACTGCAAACGCTTTGCGGCGGGATCAGTGAGGCAACCGTTCCTCGTGAGCAAGAACCGGCTCTACCTTCTGCTCCCATTGGCTTCCTCTGCTCCCCAAACTGCCGAGCCGAGCTGAGAGGCTAAAGAGATCCTACCTTGAGAACAGCCTCAAAAGAAGCATCCCCGGGGCTGCCCTCTCAAGAGCTGAAACATGAGCTACCGACACAACCCCTCTGAGGGCAGCACTGTGGTCACCGTCTTCCTCCTCTGCCTGCTGTGAGGAAGAAGGACTGCTTGGCAGGAAGTGGATCGTGACCAAAGGTGCTGCGTGTTCTGAGAAACTGCACTGAGCCATGAGGAAAGAAAAAGTCAGCAACTGTGACCGCCAATGGCTGTGGTGTCTTCGCACCCCAGACCAATGTGGCACTAATGCTCCCCGTAGTCCTTGAAGAAAACATCAAAGGACGGGAGCAGCAAATGCTCACTCTGCAAGGACTGAAATTTGAGGACTGACAGAAAGATGGTTAGGAAATAGTAATTTTCTTGGAATGAGCTTAAATGTCCAGGAACAGATGAATTGAATCCTACGGTGCTGACACAAACTAGCTGTTAGTCTGCCAAATTTTGATGTACTTCTTTGAGAAAATCTGGAAAAATGGTGAAGACCCATCTGTCAAATGCCCTATTTTCAAAACCAGAAAGATCCAGAAAAGTACAGACCCACCAGCCTATCAATGTGTCTGGGAAGATTTTAGAAGAGATGCTAAAGAGACTGATTTGTAAGCATCCTGAAAAAAAGGCAGATGTTACCAGAAATCAGCACAGATTTTTCAAGAATAAGTATTTCCAGACTAATCTTATCTTACTGATTTAAATAATAATAAATGATAATGATAATGATAATGATAATGATAATGATAATGATAATGATAATAATTTAGATAAACCCCACCTCAGGAACTATGCCTGTTTGTAGGCACCACTGTTTTAAGGAGGACTCAGGGATAATGAAAAGGCTCAGAAAAGAATAAGGGTGATCAAGGGGGTAGAAACGGTGTCCTACAGAGAGATTGGAAGCTGTTTAGCCCTAGGAAAAAGTTAAGACATCTGAGCAGGAATATGATAGTACCAAGTCACCCCAAAGGTCAAGATCTACTCTCCTTTAGCGCAGGACTGCTTCAGAGCCAGTGGAGAAAGCACATTTGGCCTTCCTGGACTGAAGGGGGATGAGTGGAGAGGCTGGCTGGGTTCAAAATTAAGAAACGGACAGCACAGATGGAACATCATGCAGGAGTTCTACAGAGGGCACCTAATTGCTCCCAAGTTGTTTCTCAGTTCTCAGATTCGGAAGATGTCCCCGCCTTGCCTGAATGCCTTATCACATGTTCTTGATGAAGACAGAACCAAGTAAATCCATGGCTGCCTCTCGCCTCCCTGAGGGGAAACTGGGATGCTGAGTGGGCCACATCAGATGGAAATTGGAATGGCTCTTACAAGGCTCACTCCAAAATATCTTAAGTAAACCAAAAGACCCAGTAGCACAAGAAGAAAAAACAGGAG